CCCCCTCGCTCCCCCCTTTAATAAAACCATTACACCCAATTAGCAGCAAACGCTATCTCCGCAGCTCTCCTTTCGCCTTGCGTTACCCCAAAGCCGATCTGTTTGCTCCAGCTGCTAGGAGGCTTTAGTTTACAGTAGCATTCAAGTTTTTCCTGTTTTGAACAGGTTATGAAGGAAGAATGGAGTTTCCAGACCATAGCCGCCAGTTGCTGCAGTGTCTGAGTCAGCAGCGTCACCAGGGCTTCCTGTGTGACTGTACTGTGTTGGTTGGAGAAGCTCAGTTCCGAGCGCACAGAGCCGTCCTCGCCTCTTGCAGCATGTACTTCCATCTTTTCTACAGGGACCAGTTAGACAAAAGGGATATTGTGCATCTGAACAGTGACATTGTCACGGCCCCTGCCTTCAGCCTGCTGCTCGAATTCATGTACGAGGGGAAGCTGGAGTTCCACAGCCTCCCAGTGGAAGATGTGCTGGCCGCCGCCAGCTACCTCCACATGTATGACATTGTGAAAGTCTGCAAGGGCAAGTTGAAAGATAAAGAATCGGGCTCGGAGGAGAAGCCGGGCGATGAGGCGGCCGTGCTGGACAAAGCGGAGCGTTTCCTCGATGAGTTTGAGCCGGGGGGCAAAGCGAGGTCGGAATACGAACGGGCCGTGGGCAAGGAGAAGGTGGGATCCCACCCCGCCTGGCCCTGCGGCCCCCCCAGCCTCAGCCCGGCCGAGGCAGAGCCCTGCGCGGCGGCAGCTGGAAAAACAAAGGCGAACGTCAATAGTTGTGCGGGACCTTTGTCCCAAAGGTCCGCCAGCCGTCCCCCGGTGTCGAGCGAGGCCGACTGCGCGCTGGATTTGTCTTTCAAGCCCGTGCTGGGGAGAGATTCCTTGCAGCCCTCCTATGCCTTCGGACAGCTGGCTTCCGACAGCCAGCAGCAGGGCACCGAGCCACTGGTGAAGGATGAACAAGAGTCGCTGTCAGAGCGGGAGGACGGCGAAGCCGGCAGTCCGGAGAGTCAGCATTTTGGGAACTCGGCCAAGAGCCTGGTGACAGGGTTAGGACACATGTTCGCGGGGAATGGCAGCTCTCACGGCCGGGAGGAGGACCTAGACCAAGAGCGAGAGGAGAGCGAGGACGACATGGACCCCGCGGACATCTCTGCGGGCGTGCTGGTGCCCCCGGGGCACATCTGCATCTGCCCGCTGTGCAGCAAGGTGTTCCCCAGCCCGCACGTCCTGCAGCTGCACCTCAGCTCCCACTTCCGCGATAAGGACGGCGCCAGGAGCCGCCTCTCCCCCGACGGCGCGGTGCCCACCTGCACCCTCTGCGGGAAGACTTTTTCCTGCATGTACACCCTGAAGCGGCACGAGCGGACGCACTCGGGCGAGAAGCCCTACACCTGCGGGCAGTGCGGGAAGAGCTTCCAGTACTCTCACAACCTGAGCCGCCACGCGGTCGTGCACACCCGTGAGAAGCCCCACGGCTGCAAGTGGTGCGAGAGACGCTTCACGCAGTCGGGGGATCTGTACAGACACATCCGCAAGTTCCATTGTGGCCTTGTCAAGTCTTTGGTTGTTTGAGACGTGGGATTCTTATTATTTTTCCTCCCTCCCACCCCCCCCTTCGCCCTCTTAAAGCAGGGAAAATAGGCAGCATTTGAATCTTTTTTCCTTTTTTTTTCCCCCCCCCTCCCCCCTTTTATTTTGGTGATATTCACTTTTCAGGTATTTGATCTTTAAAAAAATGCAGAGGTACACACTCCAGAGGCCTTTCAATGCAATTCCGCCTCCCATTTCCCCAGCCCTGCCCCTCTCACCTCTCTGCCCCTCAGATCTTCCCATGTTCCATTATTAATGTGAAACAATCTCAGTAATTCTGCAGTGATTTAGCGCCTGCTCTCGTGCTGGAAGTACTCGCTCTGTGGTTGGGGAGGTTCTATTTATTTATTAAGTTTTATTTTAAGTTGGAAGAAGGATTGATTGTCAATTCTGGAGAAGTGCTTGGATCCTGTTAAGCTCCCTGATTCATCTGCACGTTGCCCAGAGATGTTTGGGGAGATGAGCGATGCTTTCAGTACATTTCAGTGCAGAGGAAGTTCTCTGTAGTGCTCTCTCTTGAGTAGCTGGCAGCAGCCTTGTGGAGCTGGAGGAAACTCTAACTGGCCCAGAAAGTAAAAACGGGGGGTGTGTGTGAGAATACCTGGGTACTCCTTTGGTACTGCTCACTTCGTAAAATTCTCTTCATTATTTTGGAATAGCTCCACTATTGAATGTGAAGGTTTGCTTTCAGGCCTGATTTGTTTCCCTCCTGCCTACCTTCCTCACCTACGGAGCTGCCTGGTGGCCCCAATGGGCACGGATCCATGCTGTCCCCAGCTGCTTTTATCCCCATGTTGCCCCACAGGGACTGATGTGGTGGGAACAGCTTTGGGCTGGTGCTGCTCCAGAAGGCAGGAGATGCCCTGCTGCCTGCTCTGAGAGGTGCCCTGCTGCCTTGCTTGGATCAGCAGCTCAGGATTTAATTTATTTTTATTTTTCATGAAATTAGTGATTCCTCTGGGCCCCGTTCTGTGCAATCCCTGAGGGCCAAATGAAGGGAAACCACTGGAGGGAGGCACAGCCCAGCTCTCCCATCCCACCCAGCCATTCACCACCTTACCAGGGGAGGTTTTAGGATTTGGGTTTTTATTTTTATTATTTTTAATTCCTCTAAGCTGAGGCTGCCTGTAACCACAGCCAGCGTTACTCCAAACACAACTCAATGCCTTGCCTGGTAGAGCATCCTTTATGTCAGATGATTCCCACCCTGTTGAGTTCTCCATTTGAGGTATGTGTGCGTGGGGCTGAGGTACATCAGAGGGTTCTGACTGCTGTTCTCCATTACTGATCTTCACCAGTTTTCCTGACACTCCTGGAACTGTTCTGTGAAGCACATAAGTTTATTTTTAAATGAACGTGAAGCACTGAGTTTGATTTTTTTTTTTTTTTAATTTTTTCTTAAAGTTGTGCTTTAAATACTGTACTTCACCTTATAAAGAAAAAAAATTGCCTAAAGCCTTCCCCCTCTGGTCCAAAACCTGAGCACTACCTACATGAGTAATATGGGATTTGGGTTTTTATTTTTATTTTTTATAACTAAGTACTTCCTCTTAAAGAAAAAATATTGAGATATACTTGTTGCAGCCTCCTCCCATTCATCTCTTAAACTATGAATGTACATGTAATGTGAAATTTTGCTTCTATTTATAGTTTGGGGTTTTGTTTTCAGTCTGATTTCTCAACTGTAAAATATTTTTGCTGAACCTGTTACATATGGAAGTCGTGGGAGAGTTCTTTATCTTAAGTGTCTTTGGTACTGTGGTCTTATTCTACTTAATCAATTTCTGTTCTATTTCTCCTTTTGTTGCTGTGATTGGAAATAGCACTGAACAAAATCTACTAAAATTAAGTTATTTTTTTCTTTCTACTAAAATTAAGTTATTTTTTTCTCCTGAAGATACTTGATATAGTATTTATTAGCTTTTTTTTTTTTTTGAAGTGGAATTGTTACTGTTAATCTATTTCAAAACTAGTTACTTTACACTTTAAATTTTATAACGGTGGTTTTGCATGTTGAACAACATGTAAGGAGTTAATGTAGAGTCAGCATTACTGGAGCTGGAGATCTTAATTTTGCATCCTTGTTACGCTTTTTGCCTTTCAGTCTTCAGTTTGTTGGGTTTTTTTGTTGGTTATTTTTTCCTAGGAGCATAAAAGAGGCTGTGCCGTAAGACATCCCTGATGTATGGAGCAGGGAAAGGTTGAACCAAGTTTGTGTCTGACGTTAGTGTAGGAATAACTCATTAAACTGATGCTATGAGCATACTCTGTACTGCAGTGAATACAGGACAAAAGTTTTTTTTTTTAAAGAAAAAAAAGACTTTTCTCATTCTTTCCTCCATCACAAACACGTTGTTCTCATAGTCTGGTATTTGTGTTCCCACTCGTCATAGCTTGAATTTCTAAAGTAAAGATGTTTGCACTTATTTTTGTTCTTAAGGTGAATTTTTTTGGCTCTCTCTCTCTCTGTGTCTCCAAGCTGCAGTAGCTCTGAGCATGTTTTCCCAGGGGTTCGTGGCTCTACAGAGAAGTACTCAAACCATTGCACACTGGGCTCATCTTTGCAGGAACTCTGTCAGTGTGGGGCAGTCGCTGTCTCAGTAGGGGACGGTGCTGCGCTGCATTCTAAACACTGGATTTGTCTTCTACTGCAAACAAATACTGTGAAGTTGATGTAAAAACAAACAAAAAAATAACTCACACACACAAAGAAAAAACATTGATATTTTTAATTGTTTTTAATCTTTGGTGCAGTTCAGATTAAATATGTATATTTAAAGACACTAATTTTTTTGTGGGAGAGTTTTATAGTATACAGTATGTAGAAAAAGCTATCGGAATGGAGTATATTTTATAAGAACATTCTATCACTGTTTTATAGTGAACTATTTTTCCTTCAGTGTTAGCGTTGTGCTGTTAGCTTAGGTCCGACAATCGCAGGGAGAGTGACTTCAGCTGTTGTTAGCGCTTAGTTTTGCGTGGAGTTCTGTTTGCAACTGTATTGGTATGTGCTTGTACAATGTGACAATCGTGACTAGGATTGTTGTCTTTACAAATTTCCACAAAATAAAATGTGCTAGAGTTGTAAACTTGAGCCTCCTCTTCCCCCTGTAGCGGAAGGGGAGGGTGGTTGGGGTGGTTGTGACGTACAGCTGGTGCTGCTGCTTTCATTGCGTTTGTTGTAGACTCATTAAAGTTGGAAAAGACCTCTAAGGTTATCTAGTCCGCCTGCCACCAATATTGCCCACTGAAGTTGATGCTCCACTATTTCTTTTTTTTCAGGGTCGGTGGGAATTGTAGATAAGCAAAGTGCTGTGCACGGTTGGATCCTGAGCCCACGTGGATGGAGGGAGCTGTGCAGGCACCAAAACCTCGGTGGGTTTGGAAGAGCTGAGCTCTGCCCCAGCTCCTGCTGTCCTGCAGCTGTTTGCCTTCAGCAGGAGCTGGGGTTGGGAGGAGGAAGACATGAGCTGCGTGCACCAGCTGCTGCTTGTGGGGAGGAGAGGAGCCCACGGATGGTTTTGCACCTGTATTACGTCTTTTATTGCTTAATTCTTGTGAGGCAAAGGGCCCTGCTGGAATCAGGCTGCTTTGGGATGGTGCTCCTTAAGGGAAGGGCAAATGAGAGGTGGTTCTGGTGTGCAGGCACAGCTATCTGCCCTCCTGCTGTCAGGTTGCTGCTTCTCTGCAATGCTATCAAAACAGGAATATTTCCTGTATTTAATCATGCTTGGTGCAGCCTGTGTGTCCGTTGCCATCCATAGGGAGCACTGAGATGTGTCGTTCCTGCAACATCTGGTTCTGAGGCAAAATCTTAGAAATACTTTAAAGTTTGTATTTCACCCTTTGAAGAGGGAGAAGGGTGGAAATCTCCCTTCATTTGCTTTGTCTGTGGCATGCTCTTTAAGTGAGTGGAAGGAGGTATAACTCACCCTGCTCAAATCTGGGTGCTGTGCTGTGCTAGGGAGGCAGCAAGCTTTTCTTGGTGGGGAAGGGGGGAATCTGGGGGTGGGAGGGAGAAGAAGCAAAAAGAGCTCCTCCTGGGAGATGGGCAGCTATAAATAACTGCACATAGACTGAGGGGAGCAGCCCACGTCTGTGCTGGTGTGGGCATGCTGTGCCTTTTTTTGTTGTAGTTGCTGTTGTTATCAATTGCTAATGCGAATTCTGGCACTCCAGATCCTGATGACTGTTGTTCTGATAACGTAATTAAATCTGCGGAATGTGAAAGAAGAAACCCAGCTGCTGAGTTGATGCTGGAGGGGCTGCGTGCACATGGAGGGACCAAAGGAACCTTCAGATGCTTTGGGCACAGGTTCCTGACTTGCAGGTACACAGGGAGTGCTGCTAACCTTAATTACGAGTGAGGGGTAATAGCATAAAATCATAAAGGAATGTCTGCCCTCCTAGCCATGTCCCATTGCTGGGCTGTGAGGGTCAGTCCTGGAAGGTGCTGGCAAAGTGGGCCCCTGCTGCTCTTGAAAAGCTTGGCTCTTGTTGGGGTGAGTCTTACAAGACGTTTTCATTTTTAACTTCTCAGGAAGTCAGTTGAAAACAGGTGATCTAGCTTTGGGCATACATAGCAGTGGCCATGTGCCATTAAGTGCCACTGTACATCTGAATGCCACTGAGTACCAGCTCTTTCCTAGTTTAGTTAATAGGGCATAGATTTGATCCCAGCCACCACGGAAAGCTCGTGCTGGCCCGTGGGGATGTCATCAGGTGAGGTTCCCTAGTGCTGTTGCATCCTACCTTGTGGAATTGCACAGTGTGGATGGGCCATGTTTATTCCTTACATTCTTGCAGGTGAGCCAAGTCTCCAGGCCAGTGATAAGGGAAACCTCCATGAGAAACGGTTGGGGTTGGGAAGTGTGGGGAGGATCTCTTGCCCAGCTTGGTGGTGGCACCTCTGCCATCCAGCTTCTAGCTGTCACTGTGTCATCCTGAGCTTCACTTGCCTTTGAGTATTTTTCTGTGCCTTTTGCTGAGGTATGTGCAGAGCAGAACATGAAGCAGCAGCTGTTATCTGAGGAAATCAATGGCAGGTGTGACCCAGCAAAAACAGCCTATGTAGGACAAAGCTGGGCTGGAGTGAAATGGAGTATGGTGTGGTTGGTGTGTGAAAACGCCTTGCCCTGGGAGGAGGAGAGGAGAAGGAGGAACTGTGCACACAGTGACCTGCTTGAGGAACATTTTGTCTCAAATTACTTGCTGTTTGGTATTGAGGAGGACTGAACTGGAAGTGCTGTGGATTGAGCAACTTTGCACAGAGAGGTGTCTTTCACCGTGGTGCATTCAAGGGCTGCTGCTCTGTTGCCCATGCATGTGACTGAGGTGGGGACAGTGGCTGAAGAACGCAGGGCACTTTCCAAACTTGTACCTCTGTCTTCCTGACAGGTTCTTTTCATCCCAATTAAAAAAAATAAAAAAATAAAAAATATCACTAGCACTGTTGAATAGGAGGAGAAAGAGCAAGCAGTTTGGTTTTTGTTACCTGTTTCCTGTTTATTATGCTCTGTCATACAGCTGCTCACTTCTGTACACAGCTGGCTCCCGTGTCCTCTTAGAAGGAGCTGTTGCAGAAAATTAAAGTGCTTGTCAACCTGGCTTTAAAAATAAAGACCTATTACTGCAGATGAATACAGGGCCTTGTACGTGCATTGAGACAGCGGTGCTGCCTTCCCTGGTGGGTGGTCAGTTCTGTCCCCTTCAGCCCCATAATGCTAACAACCCTGGCCCCAGTTCCCCTTCCTGAGCTCCTAGTCCATCTCCTCAAACCCTCTCAAGAAGCCCTGGGGGCAGAGGCTTTTCCCAAGTGGGTTTGGAGAAATGCGCTTTTGGGACAAAATCGCTAGGAAAGGGATGATATTAGACTTACTAACACAGGAATTTGGGGAAAACAGCAGTTCAAATGACACCTTTACTCACGGGTTGTTCCTCCTGGGGATGGCTCAGCCCACATACTAGGTACTCTCCGTTCCCCAACCTTCCTTATCTCTCCCTTCTTTCCTGAGCTATCCAGGTGGTGTTAGGAACCATCTGCTGCAGTGATTCAGCAGAATCCATTTAGTGCTTTCCCAGTGAGGCCAGCATCTGCCAGGCAAGGGGGAGGCTGTGGGGAAGCCCAGCACATCTGCTGCTGTGGCTGCAAGCAAGGCTGGGGTCAGCCCTACAGCCTCATCCCAGACGCCCCCTGGATGGTGTGCAGGTTGCAGCCACCCCATTTAGCGCGGGCCGTGTCCCCAGTTGTGCCTTGCCTGGCTCAGGCTGAGTGGTTAATTATCAAATGGCCATTTTGGCTCGGGCTGTGCTCAGGAAGAAGCTGTGCCACAATTTGCTGCGGTGTCTGTCTGGTGCTTGGCAGGCACTGGGCGTCCTGGCTGGCATGAGGTAGGAGCCAGACAGGGCTGTCATCCCTCCCCAAGGTCACAGTGAGGGAGCTCAGGCTGGAAACATGAGCATCACAATGCTTGGTGCACAAGTTGGAGGAAATAAGGCACTAAGTTTCCCTTCTGGGGCAATAAAGCAGCTCCAGTGCAGCATAAGTGCAGGACAAATGCAATGTGAGTATGGAGTCTGTGTGAGAGCATGCTTGCAGGAGGGAGAAAGGATAATCCCAATTTCCTGTTGGACAGCACAGATCCAGAATTTACTTGGGCTTGGTTCTGGGCAATTGCTTGACTCTTGCTCTGGGGTGGGAGGAGGATGATTGTGCAGATAACAAAATGAATGTTATTAGTGATGCTGACTTCCCAGCCCATTGGTGAGACCTAAGCCAGTGCCTGGCAGCAGCTGCCAGCAAATCCTGAGTCAGTACAAAAGGTAACTGCCTGGCAAGGTGTTTTGAAACCTGTATGGATTTGAGCCTCTGGCAGAAAACATAATAGATCTTGTGTTCAAAAACCCATTGCATCTGTGCTATAGGTTATAGCAACAAATGCTGAGCAAGGAATGGGAATGGGCATCTACATTTTTCACATAGCAGAAAGAATCTTTATTTTACAGCAGGCCATTGACATTTGGAGGAGCAGAAACTTTTCTCTCCCTTTATTTATAAATTAGTTTAAAAATCTTATTTTTGGTAGACCAGGATAGCTACAAGGACTGGGATTTCAACCCTTCTGATGTCTAATCAGCTGTCAGAAGAAGCTGATTTCCTTTTAATCATTTCTTCAGAGATCCTTCCACATGGCAAACGGCTTTTTTTTTTTTTTCTTCAACTGTTTTGTAAGCAAAGCTATTCACTCTGCTGCTTTCCCCATGCAAAGTTTTTGGGAGAGGGCTGGAAGAGCTGTTTCTGGGCATCTGCTCTGTCCTCCCACTCCTGTGCAAGGCTGGCTCAGCTCCCCATGCTACCTGCAGCAGTGTCTGCCTTTCCTTTAGCCTGGAGAGCTTGTTTCTCCCCACAATGTCTAACAGAGTTCATGCTCTTATGCTTTTGTTTATCTGAGAAGCTCTGCTGGCAGCGTGAAGGCTGAACTGTGAGGGTGGGCTCGTGGTGAGATTGCTTAACTCACAAACCAAACACAGATGCAGAGTCTCGAACAAATCCACCAAACTACAGGACAAACTTATTCTAAAGCCTCCAAAAGCCTTATTTCATGGACAGTAAAGATACAGGAGGCCCCAGGATGTGAGAGATGGGCCATTGAGGCAAAGTGTGTAGGAAAGGGAAGGGGCTGGAGGGACTCTGGTCTTTGAAAACTGTCCCCAGGCCAAGGGAAGGCCAGGCAGTATTCACTGCTCCCCCCTGGTTCCTCTGGGCTGTGTTTTGTTTCCTGGTGCCTATCCTACACCTAGGAGACAAACTGTCAGTTCCATGGCTCTGCGGGAGCGTGGGGAGTTTGCTCAAGCTCGGGTTCACCTGGGGGTTGAATCTTGCTCTGGCCACGATGCAGATTGTGAGGTAGCAGAGCTTCAGGCCCCTCACAGCCTTTTGGGATTTGGGATCCCAGCTTAGGTTGTATTGCCCAGATACAGCCTGCAGGGAGCCAGGATAATTTTGGGAAGGCAGCAATGTGGGATTGCAGACTTGAATGCAGAAAGGGCAGGTTTTTTTTTGGAGTAAGGTACAAGGCTGTGGGCATAGTCTTACTCTAAAATGTCAGTAACAGCGCTGCTTCCTATTGCTCCTGGTGTTTGTAGGGATGGAGTATCCCCACAGCAGTGAACAGGGCAGAGGCACTGCGGTGCTGCTCGCAATCAGAATCCAAATCTCTTTTTATCTCTAAAATTAATCACAGAAACAGAATTATTAAGGTTGGATAAGACCTCGAAGATCATCCAGTCCAACCCCAACCCATCCCATCATGCTCTCTGACCACGTCCCTCAGTGCCACATCTCCACGGTCCATGAGCACCTCCAGGGACGGTGACTCCACCACCCCTCTGGGCAGATAAAAAGCCTGAGAGACTCTCAACAACAAAACATTTTTTGGGGGGAGGGAGGGGACTCAATTTTTTTAAAGCCCTCTTGTAAAACTAGAATTTATGAGATCAGACAGCACTTTGTTCTGCAGTATTTGCAAACATCAAAAGGTGCCAGCACTTACTGAACGCTGCTCTGAAGTGCAGTGTGAGTGCAGCAGCTTCCTTGAGGTGTTTTGCTGTGCCTCCAGTTGTGTGCTGGCAAGTTTTTGCAATGCCTTACTGCTCACCTTCAAATAAAAACTTCTGGCTCTTTGTTTCATTTATTTCAAACCCAACAAAAATGTCAACTGCCTTCAGAATAAGGAAACCTAGGAGATTTATCTTGGAAAATTGTTCTTCTAAATGTGCCTTTTTGTGTGTGTTTTTTTGTTTGTTCATTTGGTCTTCAGGGTGCGTAGCGTGGCTCCGTGTGGTTGATGGAGCACAGGGGAATGCAGGAGGGTATCAAGAATGTAACTACAAAACCTGAATTCATCCCCCAGGATGATCTCATGCACAGCCATGATATCTGGATCTCTTAATTCTCGCCTCAAGTTGACATATCCAAAAGCCTTGTTGCTCAAATGTCAGTGCCGGGAGTTTCCCTTGGAGAGCCCTCTTCCACATCCTGACCTGGCACAAGCTCCCTTTGCTTTTACAACTGCATTGTGCTAAAGGAGAAAAATAGATGAACAAGTGTTCTTACTGCATTGCTGGCTTTCAGAACTGCAGCCAAAGCTGTCTAATTTGTGGAGAGGTTTACAAGTCTTTTTTTCTTCTTCTTCTTTTTTTTTTTTAAGCCTTTTAGATGAAAGTCTTTAAGGTTGCCATCCCCCAAGATTTTTCACATGTGAATGTACCAAATTGCTGAAGATATATCTCTTTACAAGGCGCCTGTTTTACTGCCAGTATCCTACAAAGCTCTGCCCTGGTAGGTGCTGCTGGGGCAAACTCCAGTTCTGCAAAGCCTTTCTCTGTGTGTTGCACAACTTTCAGGCAGGCACAGCGGGCTACCTGTAAGTCGCTCCCACTTCCTTGTGTACTTTGAAACCCTGAGGGAGGGAGAGATGAAAATGACTGAGTTATTGAGAACAGATGTTGCACAGTAGCAGAGAAACAAATATTTTGTATTTATGCTGCTTCCATCCAAGGGTAATGTTAACACCGTTAACTTGCCCTTTCCTCAGCATAATCCAGCTGCCGAGCAGAGCTGCCTGCTAATAAAGTTTTTCTTTAGAGAAGGAGGAGGAGCAAGCTCCTGAATATACCCAGTGTGAGTCCTCATTCTGCAAGGCTGACTGCTGCACCCCTTCACCTCTGTGTCATCCCTCCCCTTGTCTGACCCATCGGTTGTCCCCTTGTGAGTGGCAGGTTACTTTGCACAAACAGGAAAGACACTAACCAAAGCTTTTTTGCAGCTTGTTCCTTCTCTAGTTTCTGGGTAAGAAGCAGACTTTTTTTTTTTTTCTTTTTTCTTTCTGTAAAAAACCTACCCGTGCCTCTCTCCAGTCTTTTCATACTCTTGCTTGCCACCCCCAGGATATAATGGGCTTGGGGACAACAGCTATCCCTCCATGCCCCCTTTTGTTAGACTAGAATCCTGGAGTCATAGAATTGTTTGAATTGGAAGGGACCTTCAAAGGCCACCAGGTCCAACTCCCCTGCAATGAACAGGGACACCTACAGCTCCATCAGCTTCTTATGTTGCCAAGTGCCATCCTGGCTCCCTAGTCCCACAAGACCACTTCCAGCAGTAGCACCTGGCTCCTGATGCATATTGCAGGCAGTTGCATTGGCAGCATTGGAGTTTCCTTTGGGCTTTGTCATGCCATCATCTGCCAGTTGGCTCCTTGGGCCCCTTGGTTTTCTCCTTGATGGACCTCTTCATTTGGAGCCACTGCATGATGTCTTTGCAAATTGAGCCTTGGGGCTGCTGTCTGCGAGGTGTTGCTCTTGGTTCGCTGCAAAGCTCTCGGCAAACATTTGTTTTGTTACAATAATAGTAAGAGGAAAAAAAGCTGATGAAGTTCCCAGTAGCTCGATGGAGTCTGTTAGTGTCAGCAGACAGGATAATTTACTCAGCCAATTGTACTGGCTCTGATTATTTACAGTAACCCTAAAAGCATTGCCTCCCTCCCAGGAAGGAAGCGCTGGTTGCTTTAAACAGCAAGAAAACACTTTAAACAAACAGAGAGGAAAATGCAAAATGCAAGCTCTGCTGCTTCTCTTGAAAACAAGCGTGGATTTGGGACAGAGCCTCTGCTGAAGGAAAGCCTGCCTGTGCTGGGATCGCATCACTGCGCACCATTTCTAAACGTTCCCCCAAGGATATTACCAGTCTCTGTGTATGAATAAGCCACTTAGAGTGCATAGCTGCTATATTGCAATTTCCTAAGAGGTGCTGGCATCTGGAGAGATTACATTCCACTGGACCCTGCGACGGAAAGAATGAATCCAAGAACAAAGAATGAAATCCTCCATTCTGCACTCAGAAATCTGATCTTCACCAAAGGGTACGGGCAAGCTGGTAGCACGCCCTCGGTTGGACCTTGAAATTGCCAGCTGAAGGGAGTGCTTCATGCAAGCTTTCCCTTTTCTGCACTGAGCCATCCGTAGAATTAAACTCAGCACCGCTCAGTGGGTGGAAAAAATCTCACCGGCGAACTTGGTGACACCGAAACGCATGGGATGAACAGCCCCGCCATGCTGCTGCCTCTATTTGCAGGATGGGCACGGTTGGCACCACGCTCTTGGCACCTCGCTCTGTCGAGACACCTCTCCGGGTGGGAGGGTGATGCCGAGCGCCTGGCTGCCCGCCAGCCCGCCCAGAGCCGCACGCACATTGCAGCGGAGCTGCAAAATGGAGATCGCCCACTCCCAGCAGCCTGTGCCGGCGGCTGTCTGGCAGGATTGATGGTTGTCACTACTGAGCGCCGCTGAGCCGGAGCCAAAAGCAAATGAGTGGATGTCCTCGTGAGCCTGCTGGGGGGAGGGAAAAAAATGGAAAAAAGACAAAAAGCACCAAAAACCTGAGAACTTTTTTTTTTTTTTTTTAGTTTAGAAACTAAAGTAGAGAGCCTCGTTCCACTTTGGGATTGCTTAGCTGGGAAGAGGTGATGAGGCTGAGAGGAGTGCCTGCTGCACGCAGAGCTGGGAGGTCTGAGCTCCTTGATACCATTTTGGGTGGAGCAGATTTAGGGGGAAGGAGGGGACGTTCCTCCTCTGTTGAACTGCTCATGGGATGAGAGATGGACGTAGTTTAGTGGGAAATAGTGGTGATAGGCAAACGGTTGGACTAGATGATCTTGGAGGTCTTTTCCAACTTTGGTGATTCTGTGATTTATGAAAGGGATGCTTAACTGTGGGCAGCCCTGATCCTAATGGCTGT